AATGCCGAGGCCTTCCTGCCAGCTGTGGGTGTTGCTGTTCTGAGCCCAGTGAAGGGTGCTATGCTTCCTGTCCTTCCAGGCGACTCTTCGGCTCTGGGTGGCTTCCTCTCACCTGCACACCATCGGCCTCTGCAGAATCCTTGGCTGGGCTGAAGGAGGGCCCCTGTCTTTATCCAGGCCTTTCTCTAGTAGCTCTCTTCTCGCTGTCCTGCCTCTGGCTCTGGCTCCGTTGACCCCTGGACCCCACTTACCTCCCTTCCCTCTGCGGAGGCCTCAGGGCAGGAGCTGGGGCATCTGTGAGATGTGTCATTCTTACCTGTGTTCTCCTGCACTTTTCCCCTCTGCTCTTGGAAGGTTTCTCTTTCTCTCTGGCTTTGGTTCATTCGATAATGATGTCCTGTTTGGGTTTCTTTTGTGAACGTCCTGTTTTGGTTCCTTTTGTCTTGCTTTGCAGGTGTCAGTAAATACAGACGGGCATTGCAGCATTTTTACAGCTTATTCAAGCTGTATTCAACGTGAACTAATATTACAAGTGCATTTTGTAAAAGTGTCTACATCTTTTTGCAGTTATAATGAATTTTGCTGAAAATAGCATTTTTGCAGAAGTATAGATGAGATAAATTAAATGTGTTTTGTTCTTACTTTGAAAGATCATTAACGAGCCTGAAACATATTCTGCAAAACAGCCACTGCGTAGATTGCAGTGTTTTGGAACTAACCCAAGAGTCAGACTACATAGAAACAGAGCAGACTGTGACCTTACAAGCAGAACCCCGATTTTACTGCCCTTTTTTCAGGCGTACCTTCAGATGCCGAGTCTTCTGCTGCCAATAATAAAATTAGTGGTGCAAATAACGCAAAGCCGAATCGCCCTTCTCTTGCCAAGATCCTCCTGTCCTTGGATGGGAACCTGGCCAAACAGCAGGCCCTGTCACATATCCTGACAGCGCTGCAGATCACATACGCCAGGTAGGCTCGTGGGCTGGGCACTGCGGTCACGTAGGCCAATCGCCCTTCTCTTGCCAAGATCCTCCTGTCCTTGGATGGGAACCTGGCCAAACAGCAGGCCCTGTCACATATCCTGACAGCGCTGCAGATCACATACGCCAGGTAGGCTCGTGGGCTGGGCACTGCGGTCACGTAGGCCACATTGCGCTTTTGCTTCGGGAGCGCTGCCACGTTTAAGCGTGGGGTTCTGTACCTCCCGACTGATGGGAGGTCTCCTGGAGTGTGGTGCTGCTGCCTCCGAGGGCTGTGCGTTGCGGGGCGCCCGTCCTCTGCCTTCGTGAGCACCCAAGCACGCGTGGGGAAACCCAGGTTAAGGATGCCGTTGTTAGTCTCGCTCAGCCAACGCGGGGCGTCAGTCCTGGGGCAGCGCGGGGGAGCTGGCTGACCGGTTTGCGGAGCTGTGGGAGGCCCGGCGTGTTCGGCACCCTCCCCTCGTGACCAGGCAGTGTCTGTAGCGCTGCTTTTGTAGTGCTCTGCTGCTGTCTTCTCACAGTGCGAGTGCGCCGCCCGCTGTCGCCGTGTGCTGGGTACGGCCTGTCACTGAGAGGCGCTCGGTCCCCGCGTCTGAGTAAACAGGACTGCCCGGAGCTCCGTTCCCCACCCGCATGCTCTCACTACAGCCCAGAAGGGTCTCTCAGGCAGGGCCAGAGGCTGGGTCTGGCCTGCTTTTTGTGTTAGGCAGTTTCTCACCTGTCGTTACTGTGGTTACTCAGAGAAAGTCCGCACGTTTTAGCTGGGAGCTGCTGGGTACCTGGGAATAGCTGGGCATTCTGCAAACCTCTGCATCCTGTAAAAACAAAGGTGTCTTGACGAGCACATGCCCCCGCTGCCTCCCGTGGCGTGGTGGCGAGGGGGGCTCCTGCAAGCCTGGCTCTCTTGCTCTCACAGAGACGCGGTCGTTGGGGCCCTGATGCCAGCCAGCATGATGGCCCCGGTGGAGTGCCCCTCGCTGTCCTCCTCGGCACCCGCTTCCGACGCGTCTGCCATGGCCAGTCCCGTGAGTGCAGAGGAGTGCGTGCTGGCCGGGGACAGTGAAGACAGGCTGAGCCCTAATCCGTGGCAGGAGAAGAGAGAGGTAACATGGGCTGGAGTCCCCCGCACTGCGAGTTCACAAAGGGGCTGGCAGATCCGGGGCCCAGAGGTCTCGTTCTGTCGGTTAACATGGGGCGTTTTGTGTGTCCACTGCTTGGGTCTCTGGCTGGAAGATATTCTGCTCACAGAGCTCTTCAATGCTCGCGAGAGGTGGTTGCTCTTGTATGAAATCATCAAGCGCAGTTCGCAGTCCGTGGTCGTAACTCTGAAACCTTGACGCTCTGAAATCAACATTTTCGTAGCCTACTTTGAAGAACACCCAAGTCGAAGTGGGGAGGGCTCCTGTCGGTTGGTCCGTGGTTGCTGCGGGGGCTCGTAGGCTCCCCGGGAGTGGATGTGCTCAGCCGGGCAGGACTGCCCCAGGCCCACTGGGCAGCAGACACGTGGTGTGAATGCGCCGTGACGGCCTCTGTGGGATCTGGAACATTCCTAGAGGCCCCAGCTGGGTTCGGGGGAGGCATTTTGGACTTGCGTGGGCTGCGTGCCTGTGGCTGAGTTTTCCTCGTGGATGTCTCTGTGTGCTTTCCAACTAGGTCGTCTCTCCCGAGGACGCCGTGACCCCGTCTGCCCCCTCGGCTTCCTCGCGGCCATTTATCCCAGTGACCGATGACCCCGGAGCGGCCAGCATCATCGCGGAGACCATGACCAAGGCTAGCGAGGTCCAGAGGCACCCCCAGCTTTCTGTCGGGCTAAGCTCACACGCACACAGTTGGCACAGACGCTGGGTTCGGGAGTGGAACCATGCACTCTGTGTGCCCCTCCCGAGGTCCTCCGCTCCTTAGCTCCCCGAACCACCTGTGTGAGTGCGGCAGGCGTGATCCCCGTCACGCTGTCACCTGCAGACAGCGTCCCGGTCACTAGTGTCCTGTAGGTCTCTCGCCCACCCTGGCCCTGGCTGTCTGGGCGCAGTCTCCGCCCTTCCATGCAGAGGGCACACCTGGGAGCCACGCGGGCACGCGTCTGGCTGTGCGTCCCCAGAGACGTGCCGTGCTGCATGGTTGGGAGCGTGTGCAGGTTTCTCCCTGGAAGGTGCCGGGAGGCACTGGGTGGTGCCCAGAGAGTAGGGCCCCCTCGTTCCTCGTTGCTCTCTCCCCCGCTGTGCCTGGCACCTCGCAGTGATTCTACCCCCGCCCCTTATTTAAGGGGGTGCTGCCAGTGATCCTTCCTTTCTCTTCACTTCGCTTCTCTTCTCTTTCTTTTTTTTAAGCAACTCCCCTGGACAATTTTTCTGTTTTTTTTTCTTTTAATAAGTATTTTATTATTTAACTTTATTTATTTGTTTACTTATTTATTTTAATCTGACCAGAGAGGTACAGAGCAAGAGAGAGAGAGAGAGAGAGAGAGGGTAAACCACCAGGTCTGTGACTCGAACCGTAGTCAGCCATGTGACCTCATCCACCATGCCAGCTGCCGGCCCCTGTTCTGTCCCCCTTGAATATTCTACTGAAACAGTCATTAAGTGGGGCCAGCAGGTGGCATGGTGATTAAGGTGCTGGACTCCCACGTGGCTGAATGTTTCAGACCCTGGACCCGGTGGCTTGAGAACCACGCTGGGGCCTACGCGCACTCCCAACATCTCAGGAGGATGGAGGGGAAGGGGAAGGGGCCGTGGCGTGGGCGTCCCCCTGGTGGGGTGGCTTCTCACTTTTCTTCTCTGTCTCCCTTTGGAGAGCACACATGCCCTATGGCACAAACGTTCACAAGATTATTAAGTACACTGAAGTCAGAAGACTGAAATGTGGTTGCCCCCCCCCCCCCGCAGGGCTTGTGCCATCCTTCGGAGGCTCTGGTTCTGGGCCCTCCTCTTTTCTCGCGAATCTCACTAGCCGACTCCCAGGCCAAGGTCTGCTTCCCTGAAGGAGGACCCTTTTCCTAGCTCACGGCCAGCCGTGTGGTTTCAGGACACACCTATGAGCCACATTGCCCTAAGGATCCCAGGTGGGGTGTGCTACCCCTGACCTATTTCTCTTTCTGCAAAGAATGACCCTGAATTTGCTGAGGCTCTGAAAGTCAGAGGGAAGAGAAGAGGCGCTTACCTGCCCCCGTGCGTCCTCGCTGAGCCAGAGTGCCTGGGCCCGCCCCTGCCCCGCACGGACCATGTGGCTCCTATGCCAGGGTCACACGGAGCCTCTGGCCTCTCTCCTGCCCTTACCTCACTCCCGCCAGCCCAGTCCTAGTGCGAACTCCAGGAGTCTGTGCTGGACCGCAGGAGGCAGCAGGGCTGCAGGGCAGGGCAAGAAGTGGCCTCTCTGCTGAGAAGGTGCAGCGTGTCCTGCTGACTGCGGGGCTAGGCAGTGAGGGCGAGGGTGACAAGATCCGTCATACGTGTTACCTCTCCCAGAGATCCCAGGGAGCCTGAGGGGTGTGCTGGCGAGTGGCCCTAAGTGGGACTGCAGGAGGTCACGGACAGGACAGGCAGGACGTGCACAGTCGTGCCTTTGTAAATGGCAGGTTTTATGTGGCGTGACTCCATTCCACGCGCCCGTGTGAGGCTCGCTGTGGTCCACACTTGGTCTCAGCAGAAGGTCATCTCAAGACATTTCTTCATGACTGGCACCATCAATAATTTGTAGGCTAGTTCCATAGAACACAGCCTGTGGCTTGGTGGAGAGGAGGGAAGAGGGCCCTGTCGTTTCTCAGTCTGCTTTTCTTTTTATTTAAAAAAAAAAAGAATTATTTATTTAATTTTATTTATTCATTTATTTAAAGTTGAACAGAGAGAGAGAGAGAGAGAGAGAGCGAGCAAGCCAGCCACCAGGTCTGGGACTCGAACTGTGGTAGGCCATGTGGGGGGGTCCAGCACCTTAACCACCACGCCAGCTGCTGGTCCCATCAGTCTGCTTTTCATGGTCACACACAAAGTCCCTCACTCTGGTAGTCACGTGTCCTTCAAGCTTTCGGTGAGCTAGGGATCCCTGATCTCATTTTCTTTTCGTCTTGCTTGTCATCTGATTCAGGATGTTGAAAGCCAAAGCAAAGCATCAGGCCCAGAGCCCCAGTCCCTGGACGAGTTCACCAGCCTGCTGGTGGCAGACGACACCCGTGTGCTGGTGGACCTACTCAAGCTGTCCGTGTGCAGCCGGGCGGGCGACCGGGGCAAGGAGGTGCTCTCGGCCGTGCTGTCCGGCATGGGCACCGCCTACCCGCAGGTGAGTGGTAGGAGGCCCCGGGCGCCCCTCCTTCCTTCCTCATGCCAGGCCAGCCTTCTCGCGGGGACAGCAGCCTTCCCTCGGGGGCAGCACTGTGATCCCACGTGACCTGGCTGCGAGTCCATCCTAGGGGCTGCGTGTCAGGCACCCCTGAGACAGCACATCGGCCCACCCCCACAGACTCTGCACCATTTAGAACTGGCTCGGGAAGCTTTTTCTTTTCAGTTTGTTAGAATCTCTCAAAAACGTCCTTTTTCTACGGCATGTTCCGTAGTTTTCCCGAAGTTTGCCGTTTGACATAGTTTAGATGTTTTTTGCCATGTAGTACTCTCTAATTTTCACAAATAATGTTTAAGAATAGCAGTTGGAGTTTCTAACTCCAGTATTAACCACCCAATGGTGTGATTCTCCACTGCCTTTTATTTTCACTTTTTTTTTTCTTTTTTGAGAGAGAGAGATTTTTGCTACAGGATGTGTATGCTCACCAGAGGGAGAGGCAGAAAGCAAGAAACGACCACCCAAGGGGGATGGCCACACCACAGTCCCCTCTCTTGCAGTCTCCTTCTGGGATTTTGGGCACGCACCCAGTGAGCTTTGAGCCGCCAGGTCTGGGACTCAGACCATAGTTGACTATGTGGGAGTCCGGCAACCTGAGTACTGTGCCATCCGCTGACCCGTCCACTGCCTTTTAACGTCAAGGACAAGGAGATCACAGATTGCTGAGACAGTTGGGTTGGGGGCCCCCATCTCTTTGAGCCCCGAGGAGCCCCCGCTGTGCCTGCTGTTGCGGGTCCTCCCTCACGCCTGCAGGGCCCGTCATCGTGGCTCCTGGCCGCTCACCTGCCTGGCGGGCCGCCCGGTTCTTGTCCTCTGCCTGTCGTTTGTCCGTGTCCTGACCGGCAGGCAGCCTCCTTGCTGTGACAGCTGTCACCACAGGCGTGGGCACAGGTTACGTGCCCACGTAGCAGCCGCTCCAGCTCGGGGCACCGCCACAGGCTCCCTGTGTGCCTTGCTCTCCTGTCCTCCCGTCTGCCGTCCTGGTCCTCAGCGAGGTTGGGAGCAGGCAGGAACCGACGGCCCTGCTCCTCCCAGGTGGCGGACATGCTATTGGAGCTCTGTGTCACCGAGCTGGAGGACGTGGCCACAGACTCGCAGAGCGGCCGCCTGTCGTCACAGCCCGTGGTGGTGGAGAGCAGCCACCCCTACACCGACGACACTTCCACCAGCGGCACTGTGAAGATCCCAGGTGCTGGGCCACCGGGAGGGATGGTCTGTGCGGCCTCTGCCCCAGGGCGGCGCCCTGTGAGCCGTGGTGGGACGGTGCCTCGTTAGTCAGAAAGGGCTCCAGAATGGGGGCAGATTCACGCCGCCCTCGGCTGAGGGCCCCTGATCTAAGGCAGCACAGAAAACCACACAAAGTGGCTGTTTTGGTGCAAGACATTGCCACCGAAACCCAGGTCTCGTGCCTGTGCCAGCCCAGGGCCCTCTGCGTGTCCCCCTGAGTGGGGCCGTCTTCATGTTGAGCCTTGGCTGACTTTTATTTCTTTGCCACGTCTTTGCCCAAGTCCCTCCGTCTGTCCGCTTGTCTGCCTCCTCCTTCCCTCCTCCCTCCTGGCTGGCTCACCTCCCTCCACAGCCTGTGTCTGCTGCTCATGCGCTCCGCCGCCCCCCATGTCGCCTCAGTCCCTCCTCTTGCAGGTCGGTGCCCTCCAGAGGCCTGCGACACCCCTCCTTCACCTCTCCCTCCTTGCCCTGCCTCTTCCCTGGCCCCACCGTGTTGTCTTCTGCTAGTCCTTGAGACTGTCCCAGCCTAAGGGACCTAGCACTGCCGGCTGAACTGCACCCCTGCTCCACAGACTCCAGCTCACGGGCAGGCAGTGCCCCGGGCTTGCAGCACCCCCTGGGCCCCTCTAGTCCAGGCTCTGACCCACCCTGGGCTAGTGCAGGCCCGGGCCCCGCCCCCCCCCAGCCACTATTAGTCTGGGTCCCGCTCTGCCTGTGGCTGCCAGTGCAGGTCCCCACGCCTTGTCTGGTCAGCATCCGCAGAGCCTGGCCGGGAGGGCTGGAGAAGGGAATGCCCCCCGCAGCGAGGCACACGGGCCGAGCAGAGACCGCGTGCCAAACCTCAGCCACACACATGGGCTTTGAGGGCACAGCAGGAGAGTGGCCAGCCTTGGGCTGTTGCTGGGGGCCGGACCCCGACCTGCTGTCTCAGCAGCAATGGGACTGGGTTCCCACCAGTGCTGTGTCGGCTGTCGGACCCAGGGGGCGGTCTCGAGCTCTTTTCATGCCTCTTCCAGGTGCGGAAGGGCTCCGGGTGGAGTTTGACCGACAGTGCTCCACGGAGAGACGCCACGACCCTCTCACCGTCATGGACGGCGTCAACAGGATCGTCTCGGTGCGGTCAGGTGAGCAGGAGGTGCACAGACTGCTTGCCACCACCTCAGCGGGGACCAGATCATGCTTGTAATGCAGCTGCTGCCACCTTGCTCTGGGGGCCCCAGGGGAGCGGCAGCAGACGTTGGACTGTGGCGCCTCCGTTTGCCCCTTCCCGGTGCCCGAGACTGGTGGTTAGAGCGTTTGGCCATGTGGCGCGCGGCCTGGAGAGGTTGGGGCCCACCTGCCGCAGGGCTGTCTGAGTGCGTGTTCCCTGAGCGGGTGAAGCCTGGCCGCCTGTGCACTGAGCGCCTGTCGGGGGCGGGCAGCCCGGCGGTCTCTGCTTGGCTGATGTGCGCCATTGGGTGGAGCAGGCCGTCGGCCACACAGGGCTCCACATCCCCGGCACACTGGGAAGGACCAGCACGGAGCACGGGGCTGCAGACCTCGGCCGTCCGTCAGGTGCGGGCAGCAGACTGCCCGTGGAGGCCCGGCAGCGCCCCAGAAGCACGCTGCGGCCGTGGTGTCCTTCCTTACGGCCTCCGTCTTGGTGTTGGGTCAAGCTGTGTGGCGTGGTGATCTCGCCCGCCCGGCGGTCCTTCCGCAGCAGGCCAGGTCAGGGTCTCAGCTCCCCCACCGCACCCGCCCAGCTCTCGCTCCTGGCTGGTCCGTCTCACACCTCCTTCCCTCGAGGCGGCCCCTTCCTGGCCACGCGACTGTGGGGGCGGGGACAGCTGGAGCTCTCTGTCCCGTCAGGCTGCCTGCCCACCAGACCTTGTCCAGGGAATGCCCACAGCCCTGACCTGGGTCGCTGGCCAGCCCTGCAGTCTCTCCTCCCACATCCTGCACTTTCTCTTTGTCTTACGTGTTCGAGTGCATGCGCTGCCAGAGAGAGACGGGGAGAGGGCAGAAGCACCCCAGTGGGGTACAGTCACTTCACGGACCCTCCTCCATCTCTCCACCTGGCCAAGACTTGGGGCATGCGTACTCACCAGGTGTATCTTCAAGCTACTGGGGCTGGTGTTTGAACCGCAGTCGGCTGTGTACCATCCGGCGCCTAAGCACCCGCGTACTGAGCGGGAGTGGGTGTGCACCAGCACGCGGTTCCCGGAATAGGGTGTGCTGTGCCCTCGGCCTGTGGAGGGCCGTGTTGGCCGAGCCCAGGCTCTGCCCCGGGGAGGGTTTTGCACTGTTGGTGCAGGACCCGCGGACCGAGGCGTGGGGGAGCGGCTCCCAGCGCCTGCCTCTCTCTCAGGCCGGGAGTGGTCCGACTGGTCCAGCGAGCTCCGCATCCCGGGGGATGAGCTGAAGTGGAGGTTCATCAGCGACGGCTCCGTGAACGGGTGGGGCTGGCGCTTCACGGTCTACCCCATCATGCCAGCTGCAGGTGAGGGCAGGCCTCGAGGCCATCAGGTTTGACGGCCGACCGTGGGCAGTGACTAGAGCACCTGGTCTGCCTTGTGCTGGATTGGGGCAGTGCTGCCGAAGGCCCAGCGGGGCCTGATCCAAACCCAGAGCCGCCTCGGCTGTCAGCGTTGGGGCTCTGCCCATGTGCCGCGAGCACACTGCCAACCACCGCATCCCTCGGGTGTGGGCGCTGAGGCAGACCCTGCGTGCCTCGGGCTAGTTCCCCGCCCAGTCAGACCCAGGGTGTGACTGCTCATTCACAGGCCCTAAAGACCTGCTTTCCGATCGCTGTGTCCTGTCCTGCCCGTCCATGGACTTGGTGACGTGTCTGTTAGACTTCCGGCTCAACCTCACCTCCAACAGAAGCATCGTCCCTCGCCTGGCGGCCTCGCTGGCGGCCTGCGCGCAGTTGAGTGCCTTAGGTAAACGGCGCCTTCGTGGTCCTGCTGCCTCGGGGAGGGGGAGGCCCAGCCCCTGTTCCCTCGTCTGCTCCCTCCAGCCGCCAGCCACAGGATGTGGGCCCTTCAGAGACTACGGAAGCTGCTGACCACCGAGTTCGGGCAGTCCATCAACATAAACAGGCTGCTCGGAGACAGCGAAGGGGAGGCCCGGGCTCTGGTAGGAGCTGCAGCGCCCGCTGCACACCCCCCTCCGGGTAGTGGGCGCTTTACTCAAGCCGTCGGGGAGGGAGGGGGTTTCCCATGAGAGTGCGAGGCCTCTGTCCCTTCCTGCTCCTTGTGCGTAGCCCGCGTTTGGGCGTCAACAGCTGTGGACGCAGGACTCCTCCGTCGGCCGTGGCGGTGGGCCTGAGGGCCACGTGCCCTTGGCTGGCTGGCTGCGGTGGCTCTTCCTGGAAGACAGGTTGATCTGTGCTCGCGTCGGCAGCGCGTGTGCTAACACTGGGGCGGTGCGGAAGTTAGCACAGCCCTGCAAATGGCACGGGAGAGTGCGTGACCCTCACAGGAGGGGCCGGGCCCGGATGAGGCCAGACGTCTCCACAAATGTTCAAGCTCCCCTTCTGAAGTGTCTATTGTTCAAGCGCCTTTCTTAATGTTTATGTCCCTTCAGTTTCTTTCCCTCTTGAGATTTTTTTTTTTTTTTTTTTTTTTTTTTTTTTTTGGGGTCTGTGGCTTGTCTTGCCAGAAAGACAGAGACAGAAAGCGAGAAATCACCCCCCCAGGGGGGATGGCCACACCACAATCCCTTTTCCTCCACTCTCCTCTCGGAATCATGGGCATGCACACATATGCACTCAGCATGTGAGTTTAAGCCACCGGGTCTAGGACTCGAACCATGGTCACCTACATGGAAGTTCAGTGACACAGCCATTACGCCAACTGCTGGTCCCAAGAAAAATTTTTTTGATTTCCAATGGTACATATGCTCATCAGAGAGAGACAGAGAAACGGGGAGTGAGGGCAGGATCCCCAGTGAGGTGTGGTCATGCCGCATCCTTCCCTGTCTGTCAATCTTGTGGGCACACACACCCAGCATGCCTTCCCAGCCGCCGAGGCTGGGACTATAACCACGTGGGCCACGTAGGCTGCGGCTCCCTCCACCGCGAGGCAGTGGGCCAGCCCTCATCGCACTGGTAGAGGGACTAGCACCAACGTGGTAAAACGCCCGCTCTAGGGTGCCCTGTGCAGCCATGGTGCCCACAGCGGGTGTGATCTGCTGTTGCAGAGCTTCTCGGGCAGCGCCCTTGCGGCCCTGGTGAAAGGCCTCCCTGAGGCACTGCAGAGGCAGTTTGAGTATGAAGACCCCATCGTGAGAGGCGGCAAGCAGCTGCTGCACAGCCCGTTCTTTAAGGTGAGCGCGGAGCTGTGGCTGGGCGGGTGTGGGCGGGTGTGGGCGGGTGTG